TCGAAGCCTTCTCATTTGTCATGAGAGAGACCAAGCCCCCACGCCGGGAGTTGCAATTACGGCTGAAGCTTAAAACAGGCGAGTCGTTCTCCCTGTTTCCGTCCAGTTTTTTCAGTTCAGATCTTAATCAAGAAGCAGACAATGTCAAGTTTCGACTGGGCCGAAGCCGAAAAGATGCCCCGACAACAAAAGCTTAATCGGGACTGGTGAGTCTTTTCCAGTGCCATATTCAAACCCTGTGCCCATGCAACCCCCAGGAAGTAATGCCCTTGCAAAAAACCTGAAAATGCTCCTCCCCCCCCTTCTCCTCTTGGGTACTGCCAGGGATCAGCGTGCTCACCTCTGGTCTGACCAAAAGTTCCTCGGCCCTCAGCGACATTGCGGTCCAATGCGCGGATCCCTTCACCCAGGCCTACGCAAAGCCCGTCAAGGCACTGCGAGAAGAAGCGGGGGATGTTTAGAAGATAGGGGATCCCTAGAAAAGCAACGTTCCTTTTGGCATTTTGGACGATTTCGAGAAACCAGGCGAGCGAAGCGAAAAAGTGTTGGCCGTCAGGCCAGGAAGCTCCGACAGGTTCCGTCCAGTTGGTTCCATTCGTGGCTGCCTCCTTGAAAACATTAAAGCACAACGCTTTTTCACCCTCTGAGCAAAGCCAAAAAGCCACTCCAGACACTGGCGTGCAAAAAGTGCAACACACACAATGCAAACACTGCAATCTCCAAATGCTGCGCTGGAGCGCCCAGAAACGGCCAAGAGATGCCGCCATTGCTGGTTGGTCAGACACGAAGTCTGCTTGCTTTGTCGTGCTCGTTGCCTCCGCAAAATTGGGAGAGGGTGCCCCGCACCCCTGCTTCACGGTTGATGAGCCTTCCTGTTTGGGCACGACTTTGGTTGCGGTTTGCCCACGAGTGGTAGTGGCGGTCGCATTCCATGAAACAAGCAGGTGGGATATGAGCACTTTTTGGCGGGCCCCGATCCGACCGACTAGCTCCGCAAGGCGGGCAGGGAGATGGTGAACCTTGCCGCATGTCTCAACAACGTCGGGCAAGCCACCGCGCAACTGGGCAGACTTGGGGTGCTGCTCAGTGCCTTTGTGTTTCCGGTGCCGAGCCGGGTGTTCGGATTGTCATGCCGCGGTTTGAGACTTTTTAGCGCCCTAGCCTGGATGCTTGTTGGCGAGGGGCTCAAGCTCCGGCAGAGGTACGTGGCCAAAGCAGGGTTTGCGTTGAACGACGTGGCCACCGAGCCTGGGAAGTGCCCAAAATACCCCACCCAGTACCAGCGCTACGAATGCACAAAGCGCCTGGGCTGCTTGCGCTGCTCATAGCTTACTATGTTTCACTCTTTGTGCTGTTTGGTTTCCCGCACGCTGGCCTTTTTAAATCCCAGCTCTTTTTAGTTTTGTTTTTAGTTTTTGCATTGGTCCTAAACCTGGCCAATTTCAAAGAAACGATCACTTGCGGTGGGAGTGTTTGAGGCACAGTGTCATGACTCATTGGAAGGGGGCGGGAGGCTGGTCAACCTTTATTGTCCTTCTGATCCCTGTTGTGGTCTCCACCTCTCCTTATTCTGATTGACAGACGAGCTTGTTGTCCGGGTTTCTAAAAAATACAAATGTAAAATTGCCATCTTGAAAATAGCGTTTAGTGACCAGGCCTTGCAACATTCTTGAGTCATGTTGCTTAGATGGTTCCATTACCAGCCGAAGTTGGAGCTTCAATCCCGCCTGACGCACGCTTTCCTCATTTTAGTGAAACGTACTTGGATGTGCAGCCAGGTTGGCGGCTCGTCGATCAGAAGCCACTTGTAAGCTTGGCAACTAGAGTTAGCCCCCTTTCGAATCGGGTTGGCAAGAGGGCAACCAATCTGACTAAGTCGGCCCAAGACTCAAGAAGAATCCAATTCAAAGGACAAGCCAGTTGAAAGAAACTTGTTACTTCCACCTGGCCAGGGCAAAAGATGCCGGAGATTGAGCATTTTGAAGGTTGTTGTTGACCACCCAAGTTGTTGCTTTTTTGGTTGGTTTACCTTCCAAGTAGCGCCCGCCAGGAGACCCTTTTGGTTTTGGGGGACTCCGCTCCTCTTTCCCAAAAGAAAGGTTCCCATCCTCCAAGAAACACGTGGCGCACGGGGCGTTGCCAAGAGTGAGGAACATTGGGGCCCTACTGGCGGACTTGGGGCAGATTGCCACTTACCTCTCTGGGGCGGCCTCCGGTTGTGGGGAAATCTTGGTGCCCCTTGGCTTGAGCTGATCCTGCATACGGGAACTGCGGATACAGCAAAACCCGTGGCTTTGATTGCGATTGGGGCTTTTCTCTGTTTGTTCAACTTGGGGTAGTGACATCCCCTTCCACTTGGAAAGGTGTATTTATCCGGGCGTTCAGTAAGTGACCCGCAAGGCAAGAGTGGCTATTGACAATTACCACGAAAGGCCCAGTGGCACGATGTGGCACCTGTATTAAACCACCTCGCACTAGAAGTTCAAGAAGCAAACCAAAAGGAGCCAACCCCTGGCATACGCGCCTTCTATTTGACTGTTGGTTGACGTGCCGGCTGAACCCTGCTGCAAACCATGCTAAAAAAAAAACAAAGTCTAGCGCTTGTGGCTGTTCCTAAGTTTAAAGTGATGTACACCTTTATACGCGTGTCAACAGCCATCAGCATGCTCCTCCATCCTGAGGGCCGGCCATGGTAGCGGCGATGAAGAGGGTTGTCGAGTCTCAGAGGGTGAATCCGAAGGCGAGGTGAGACACGCAACTGCAGTGATCAGAAAAGACACACACTACAGCTGCGAGTTGTGGAGCAGAGCCTCAAGATCAGGGGGCCTTTCAGCATGCTCGTGTGCTGTGGTGCCTCCTTATGCTCCTATCCACTCGCACCTGTCGTGTTGTCGCCCTCTCGACCCTCTTAGCGGCACGCCTTGCAGCGTGCCTAAACGTGAGAGAACTTCTGCGCAAAAAGGGGCGCAAAAGATATCTTCGAAGCAGCCTTTTTAGATCCATTCACTTCAACAAAGTTCCCATAATGATGGCCATACTAAAACCTACCCTGTTCGTGGGTTTCTGCCCACGAACAGGGTCAATTTCAGGCGCATCCTTAGAGAAACTTTAATGCACTGATTTGTTCAAAGCCAAGGCCCTTCGCCTGCACCTCGCGCATTGCTGGCACGATCACGGGCCTTTTCGACGTGGTCGAAGGTGTGGGCACATCTGCGTTGTGCCTCGGCCACACGCGCGCCGCAGGCGCTGCGCGGTGTATGCCCCGTCGTTTGCGGTTTGAAATGGGTATGGGTCAAGATTTGAGTCAAAATTAAACCACCAGGGGACCGCAGGTTTTAGTCCGTGTTTCCATTTACCAGGGTTCCATTTTGGGTACCTATTTTTGACCCAAAGCCAAATCTCGTTTTGTTTTAGTGGGTGCCGGCTTAAAATGAGGTCAGCCCCAGAAAGTTGTTTGTTTTGCAATGCCCAACGGGCAAGTAGACTCACGTCGAGAAAGACCTGGCAAAATCTTGCAGGCGGGTTCCTTCAGGTTTCCTGTTGGTTGGTGCAGCAAGCCACTGTCGCCGAGGTATTGCAACTACCCAGGCGCCATCAAACAGAACATTTCCGGCCAGATCAGCAACCTCCGCCAGCAGGTCCACGAAGCCAAGTACGTGCACAAGGTCCATCTCAATTGAGACACCCCCCGCGGGCCAATCTAGGACGGATTGCAATACCATATGACATGCAAATGCCGCAGGGATCCGCAAGCCTCAACTTCCTGTTGTGATAAAGCCATACTCCCATTTTCCAACTTGGTGGGCTGGGTCTTTTGAATTTGTCTTGGGACCAAGTGTCCCACAATTTTTTGCAAGCCACTATACATCCAGTGTGGCCAAAGTTTGGGTCATGGCCAACTGGACATGCCCTCCCACCAACAAACATGGAACTTGACTATGGAGGTCCTTAGGCCTTAGGAACAAGGACTGCCACGTTGCCGGCAGGAGGGTAGTGCTGGTGTTCGTGCCCCGCAAAATCCGATGGCTGTTAGTTGCGCGCCGGTCAAACGTTTCATGTTTCTTGGTGAGAGGGCAATTGGCCATAAAACGATTCTCGCTTGCTCGCATGCTTTGCACATGTTCTGTCAAGCGGTTCTTTGCCAATCCTTGCACAGTTGGGACACGCCTGGGCTGGAAGAGCCAGCGCGTCGTTTTGACTACTCGGGTGTGTCTTGAAGATTTTGCTCCTATGGTTCTTTTGGGCCCACGGGCTACCCTTCCAACAACTAGGGATCAAACCTGGGCGGGGGGGCCCTAGAATTTCCCCTGAAAGGTTCAATCTTAAAGAGACACCCTGATGCAAGGCTGCTCCGAACCTCAAGCAGATGGCCACACCGGTAGAAAACTGGTTGTGTGTCCTTCCGCTTTCCTTGACTGGAATCACAAAGGCCGTCTGGGTCTTCAGAGCGATGCTG